GATTCTCTTACAGTTTTGATATTCTCTGCGTTTAGCCAAAGACTTCTCTGGGAAGCCCATATTTATTTGGTTTTCCAGCAAAGGAAGATACTCAAGAAAATGCGGGAATCTCACAGGATCTTGGGAGAATTTTCCCAAGTAGGAAATTATGTCAATCAGGAGAACTACCTTATCTTTAGGTTGGTATTTATTGTAGGAGTGTGGAGCCTGCAGCTGCAGTCTTCTTGTAGTTTAATTGGGATTGGAGCCAAACATCCTCAGCTGTGGCCTTATCTTGTCCTTTGAGGCGTCACAGCTTCACAGGCCAATATAGGCCTCAGTGGGGACCAGTGACTCATAGAGGTTTACTTACTATGGGTCTACTGCCCATCTTCAGACAAGGTGCCTAAGCTTTAGACAACTCACAAGTAATCATGGAAAGCCAATTGGTTAATATTAAATCCAGCTCAGAGCCGCTTTGTAGTGGTCTCCAACAAGTCTGGAGTTCAGAATGGCACCAGCTATTTCCCATACATCTCTACTCCCAGGTAGGTGCAGGGAGGTTTCTAGCCTCTAGTGACTGACCCACTGGGTGTCTTGGCTTTGCTGAAGCCCAGGGTCAGGAAACAGGCAGTGGGAAGAGCCAGGAGAGGGTGGGGTCATGGTGTGCACCACCACCAGCTTGACGGACAGCAAGCTGGAGCTTTAGCTACTCCTCCAGCACCTAGCAGTTCCATCCCATCTGCACTCACTGATGGGACTTGCCCTGAGAAGGCAGAGAGGCAGGGACAAGAAGTACTCTGGTGAGGGGAAACATCTTGTTTTTAAGCCTTCTAGGTCCATGCAAGACAGGAAATTCCTCAACTCTCCTGAGGCAGCCAGCTTTCCTGACTGCAGCCCAATGAGGAAAATGAGATAGGTCTGTGCATTTCCAATGGGGAGGGGAGGCAAGCCCACTTCCAGGGCCTCCTAGCAAGGTCCCCTGGCTGTCCTCCGTCAAAAACAACAGGGCCTGAACTGGGAAGGGGGAGCGGCAGGAACCTGAGGGCCCCCATCATGTTGCTGAAGACCATAGAGCTTACCTGTCCCTACTTCTGCACTTGTGTTCTTGCTCCATTCACTGTACCTGCTCTGGGGGAAGCTTCTTTTACCCCCTGAGCTTTCCCAGTCTCTCCCCATGTTCAGTCCCTGAGGCTAGAGAGCACTGTAGTGGGCCCAATTTTGTTTTCATTGATTACAGATAAAAATTCAGTCTCAAGTGTGGAGTTAGACCTTGCCCAGGTAAGAGAACTATGTCCAGGTCCCTAGGCTTCCTGAAGAAGCCTGGTGTTTGTTTGTGGCTCTGTACTAATAGAAACTCAAAATACCAGAGTCCCTCTAACTTTGATTTGAAGTTAGAGATACCCTAGTTGCATTAGTCTGTTTTCTGTTGCTATAACAAAATACCTGAGGCTGGGTGATATGTGAAAAAAAGATTTATTTCAGCTCAAGGCTCTGTAGGTCTAAAAACACAGCACCTGCACTTTCACTATGAGGTCCTCTGGTGAGGACCTCATGGTATGGCATGTGTGGCAAGACCATTTATGCGAAACAGACCAACGGAGGTGCCGAACTCATTTTAGAACAGTGTATCATGATAGCTAACACAGATCCATAAGACCCCACTCACTCCTGAGAGAACTAATCCAGCATTAAGAACCTTATCCAGCCTCTTGAGAAAGATATTAATCCATTCATAAACGTGGTAACCTCATAACCTAATTGCCTCCCAGAGGCCCCACCTCCACACACGACCACATTGGGAATCACATGTCAACATCCTGGGCTGGAGATACAGCTCTGGTAGAGCATTTGCCTGGTATGCCCAAGGCCCTGGGCTCAATCCCCAGTACCACACACACCAAAAAGTATGAAAATATTCTTTCAGCATGAGTTTAAATGGGTTCAAACCATAGCACTAATCTTCCTGACTTTAGGCCCTGTGCCCACCAAAACCAAAAAAGCCAAAAGAGATTTATTAAAAGTCAAAGCCAGCTGGTTCACAGGACAAATGGAAATATAGACATTGAACAACTAGGGGCTTGTCCTGTACCAGGTCTGTCATGCCTGTGAAGCAGAGAAACCTCCACCTCCTGAAAGGCGTTGAAGCCCAGCTTTGGGGGAGAAGCCCAAGAGTGAGGAGAAGCCATTCTGTGGCCCATCTCCACAGAGGACTGCACCAAGGACGTCACTATCTTTCTGTCCTTTACTAGCCGGTACCCAATCTCCCTCTCCAACAAGTTGGTCTTTTTTTCTACCAGTTTTTGTTCAGGTGTTATTAATACTATATTTCCCTGAAAATAAGTCCAGGTCTTATTTTAACTTTTGCTCTGAAAGATGAAATTGAGCTTATTCTCGGGGGATGTCTTATTCTTTCATGTACAGTGATTTACTTTTATTCAAGTACAACAACCTACATTTATTCAGGTACAAAAATTTACATTTGTTCAAATACAGTCTTATCTTCTTCTGGAACATTGTCATAGTTCTCCACACCTCAAATCATGGCCCGAACGTCTTGTGACTCCATTTCCTGTAGAACCATTGGCCCCACTCTCTGGTGTCCAGCAATAGAACTCTCCTTAAATGAGCACTTCTTGTCCATGTAGCCTGTGCATAGAGCATTGGCAAAACAGCTGTCAGTGACTTCATCCCATGAATTCTTCACCCAAGTCACAATCTCTTGCAGGCTGAGCTTCACAGAGTTTCCATTAAATCAAGTGTTAACTGGAGACTTAGGAGACAAGAGTAGCAACAAAAATGATGGCAGTTAAGGTCAATGGTCCACACAAAAGCGACACAAAATTGCAGGCGCCAAAATTCAGATAAGGTTTCTTTACTTCACACATGCATTAAGTACGTCCATTACAACACATGATTTTTGAATGATGAAGATTCATATTAGACTACACCACGTCTGTTCGCTATCAAGTGCACGTGTTATTCACACATTGTGTCTGGGCTCCAGTTGGTCATTCAGCATAAGTCTTGAGTTACTCTTTACATAGGTGTTTTTGTTTTGTTTTGTTTTGTTTTTTGTCTTTTTGAGACAGAGTCTTGCTATGCAGTTCAGGCTGTCCTTGAGCTCACTTCGTGGCCCAGGCTGGTCTTGACTCTCAATGATCCTCCTTTCTTAGCCTCTTGAGTGCTGAGATTACAGGTGTGCACCACCACACCCAGCTTTCCACAGGCATTTATCTCTTGTCTGAAGGCACCTGCTTGGGTATTTACAAAAACTTAATTATAAGTTATGATTTATTTTAAGTATTAATGTCAATAATTATTATTCATATTTAACTATATATTAATATTATTTTATAATTCAGTATGTCTACCATGTGTTGCAACAGACATAATAAATGCATCCTTCTGGCTGATGATTTTAACTGGGTCTTATTTTGGGAGTAGGGCTTATATTACAAGCAGCCTGAAAAAATCATGCTAGGGCTTTTTTCCAGTTAGGTCTTATTTATAAGCAAAAACAGTATATAACAAACTGTATATATTTAAGGTGTGTAATGAGTTTTGGCATAGTTATATATCCATGAAACCATCACCATAACCTAAAATAATACCTCCATAACTTTTAAGTATTTCTGCAGGCCCTTTATAATCCAGCTCCTCAATCCCTGCCCCAGGTACTCACTGATCTGCTTTCTACTATAGTACTGTAGGTGGATTTGTGCTTCTTATTTGATTTCTTCACTCAACATATTGTGAGATCCATCCTTACTGTGATATCTCTCAATGCAGTTCTCCATTTCTTTTTACTGCTGAGTAGGATTCCAGCACTGTGTATATCAAATTTTTAAAAATGTATTCGCCTGTTGATGGGCATTTGGGTCATTTCCAGTTTAGGGCTATGAATGTGTACAAGACTCTGTATAAATATGTGCTTTCATTTCTTCCAGGACTTAAATAACTGGCTCATATAGGAAATATATATATGTATATTAGCTTTTTGAGAAACTGTCGAACTTCTTTTTAAAGAGTTTGTACCATTTTACATGTATACCACCAGCAATGAATGAAAGACCCAGGATGTTCCACACCTTGGCCAAGACCAACTCATGCAATCAGTTTGTGCAGTTTTAGCTGTTCTAAAGAGTTTAAGGTCTTTGGCTCTCAAAGTGCTTAAAAAATCTCTTCAGTGGCAAAGAAGTACCACATAATCATAGAAAATGGTAAAGAAGTGCCTCAGTTCCATTTTATGAGAAAAACCAAGATATATTAAGGTTAAAAGGAAGATGAGATCAAACATTGTACAGTGTACTGAAGGATTTGTTTTTGTTTTTTGGGTACCCAGGGCCTCACACATGTTACACAAGTACTCTACCACTGAACTACATCCCCGGCCCTATAGTTTATTTTTTTTAAAAGACGAAATGGGGTTGGAGGTGTAGCTCAGTGGTAGAGTGCTACCTTAGCATGCATGAGCCCTGGGTTCAGTCCCCAGGACCAAAAAGAAGAAAAGAACCTATTTTCTTGTGCATGTTGTATGCATAGAACATCTCTGGAAAGATAAACAGGAAACTGAAAGTTGACTGCCTTTGTGGGAGAATGTTTGATGGCAGAGGAGTAGGTGGGAGCGGAACCTTACACAAACTCTTTGGCACCTTTAGAATTTTGTACTATATGAGTGTATCACTAGTTCCAAAAGGTAAATAAAATTTAAGGGTGAAAAACCCTCATAATATGCAGAGTATCAGCTTCCCCGCTTGAGGTTCTGTTGAGGGACCAGAGTCTAGATTGGTCGTGCCTCTCCAGAAATCTCGTTGCTCATTCCCTGCTATCAAGCAAGAGTGTTATAAGGTCCAGCAGAGAATCTGGGCGCATCTTGCTCCTCATGCCCCCAGGGCTCTCAAATACTGTTAGAATCTGAGCCTCGGCATAGTTGTGTGTGGAATGGACATTTAGTCTGTTTGCTGAATACATGAATGAATAAAAGAATGTTCACCCACATCCTGTTGTCTACCATACAGAAAAGAAGAGTGACGGGAAGAGTGGCCTTTCACCCCTGGCTCCCACCAAGCCCACTGCACCCATCTTCCTGCAGGGCCTTTCTGATCTTCGAGTCATGGACGGAAGCCAGGTCACCATGACAGTCCAGGTGTCAGGTCTGTCTGTGCATCCCTCTCCTCAGGGTATATGTGGGAAAGGTCATGGTTGCCGCCTGGGTATTGCTGCCAAGGCCTTGCTTAAATCATGGACCCACCTAAAACTCAGCATGGAGCCATCAGGTAATGGGCCCGAGCAAGTGGGACCCCTCGGCATCTTTTTACTGCCTCTCTGGGTAGGAGTTTTTGGATTCAAGGTTAACTAGGCTGGGGAAGAAAATAGCCAGAGATAGAGGAGTGAGGTATAAATGTGAAAACATTGTGTGGCCAATGCATCTGGAAGGTTTGAAAATAGTGCAAAACAAGATTACATGAGCGCTTCCCAATTCTCACAAGATACTCTTACTTGCTGTATTCAAATTTTAAGGTGCAAAGAAACAACAAAGATCCTTCTAAAAGAGGGTAATAAAGTAAGTGCATGTGGTTTTCACCCTCTTCTGAGATACCCCAGTCCTTGCTGGAGGTAAGCAGAGAAGCCAGGAAGCCCCTGCCTCTGTGCTTGTGGCTAGGGCAGCTGAAGCTGCCACTGAGTGGCTTGGCTCCCAGACAGTGCCTCTTACAACTTGCAGGTCACTTTCCTGTTCTCTCAGCTCCTCTTGAGCTGCAGAAGCAACAAAATGAGCTGTGAGAGAACCTAGGGGCTCACCCTTGTAAGGATGCTCAGATGATCTCCCTGTTCCTGCAGGCTGGAGGCCATGATCGCCCCAGGCGGGTGGCTGGGTCCCCCTCCTGTCCACTCTCCCACTGGGTGGAAGAGACTGTTAGACTCCAGGCCTGTGACACTTAACCCGCTGCAAACAGATGGCCATCTGTTCACTCAGTTAAGCTTTTTCAAGGCCTAAAGCTGCCATCCTGCCTGAGTAGGCCATTGTGGGGACCTTGCTCTTTTGGAAGCAGAGCCACTCCACCCTGCATCAGAAGAACCCTCACTGGGGACCATTGCTCTGGGCCCCAACAAATTCCAGGAATGCAGACTGGTAAAAACTGGCAGTGTTACTCACCAAGACTCATGTTTGGAAGCTGTGCAAGCTGATACCGTGGGACAGCATTTGCATGATAGCAAAATGAAACGCTCCCCAAACTTTCTTCCGGTGACAGTCTGCGAGGAGGTTGCCATGCCGTTGCCACTGGCTTTTCCATAGATGCCCACTGCAGAGCAGAAGACGTGTGATGTTTGGGCCCAGTGACTCAGTGGCCACTTAGAAGTATGCAGCTGTGTCAATTCTAATTTTAGAAAACATTCTTCCTGGCTTTTCTTTTCCATCTCTGAAATCATATTTTCAGTTCTGGGTTTTTTTCTAGTTTCTCCAGGTTGGATTTTTAGTGACCATAATGAACACATATCAGGCGTTTTCTTTGTGTCAGATGATATTCTAACGGGCTCTTGAAGGAAGCTTGATTCACTCAGGCCTCCAGTAAGCCCGCAGGGTCAGTGCTCTTAGAATCCCCATCCTTCAGGTGGGAGAGCTGAAACAGAATTGGAACAAGTGTTTAGCACAGTACTAAGTGCGGAATTATCACCTGGCCAAGGAAAGACCTCCCTGACCACCCCTCTACCCTCCTCTTGCTTCAGGGAATCCGCCCCCCGAGGTCATCTGGCTTCACAACGGGAATGAGATCCAGGAGTCAGAGGACTTCCACTTTGAACGGAGAGGCACCCGGCACAGTCTCTGCATCCAGGAGGTGTTCCCGGAGGACACGGGCACGTATACCTGCGAGGCCTGGAACAGTGCCGGGACAGTTCGCACCCAGGCCATGCTCACGGTGCAAGGTGAGGCTGAGCCACCAGGAGGACAGCATCGCTGCTGTGGCCGCTCCCAGAGCCATGTGGGGCGTGCTTTGTTCCCATCCCAGCCCCGCAGGCAGTGTCCTGGCAGACACCTCCAGCTCTGGCTTACTGGAGCTTTCTGATGTCCCTGCGCTCTCTGGGTTACTGGTGACCATTTGCATAGAGTGCTAAGAGTGCAACGCACTTAATTCACAGTGATAGCTTTTGAGATGAGTTCTGGACTCGTTGATCCTTGCCTTTAGTGAACCTGTACCAGGAGAACAAGTTAAGCACAAAAGCAGGGTACAACAGTGCCCAGTCAGATGCGTCTGATGCAGGCCACAGCACCTAGCTGGTCCTAGTGTCTCTGGACAATGGCCTTGGATATGCAAATTCATGTTAATATTATCCTCAGTGAAATATACCCAAGACAGACCTGTAAGGAGAAAGATGTGCTGTGTTTGTGTGATGGAGGTGATTTCCGGACCTGCTGCTGTTTTCCATCCCTTCTCACCATGGCAAACAGAGTGGGCTCCGTGTGCTGAGGGGCCTCCCTCTCTACCTTTTCCCTCTCCTAACTTCCAGAGCCACAAGATGGCACCCAGCCCTGGTTCATTAGCAAGCCTCGCTCGGTGACAGCCTCCCTGGGCCAGAATGTCCTCATCTCCTGCGCCATTGCTGGTGACCCCTTTCCCAGCGTGCATTGGCTCCGAGATGGCAAAGCCCTCTCCAAAGACACTGGCCACTTGGAGGTGCTACAGAATGAGGATGTGTTCACCCTGGTTCTGAAGAACGTGCAGCCTTGGCACGCTGGCCAGTATGAAATCCTGCTCAGGTGAGTCTGCCTGCTGTTCCTTCCCCCTTCCTGCCGTTCCCTGGGCTTCCTTGACTTGGGGCTGGGCAGCCCAAGGGGGCACAGGCTGAGATGAACTTGGACTTCAAAGTGAAGCAAGTGCAGGCTCAGAGCAGAGCAGGTGCTGGTGAACAGCCTCCCTGTCTCAGATCAGTTCCCCGGGAGCCTCGTCACAGCGCATGCTGGCCTTCACGTGGTGTGTAGAGAATATGAAAGGGAGGAATGGGGTCAAGGTGGAAATGTGGGTGGATAGAGGGAATACGCTAGTTATCTGTTGCTATGTCACAAATTACCCGAAAACTTAGCAGCTTGAAACACAAACATTTATTATCTCACAGTTTCTGTGGGCTGGTATATTAGTCTTTTTTCTGTTTCTGTAATAATACCTGAGGGTAAAAACTTTATAAAGAAAAGAGTTGTATTTAATTTATGGTTCTGGAGACCCAGGACCAAGGGGCCACATCTGGTCGTGGCCTTCTTGCTAGGAGAGTTCTAGGGTGGTTCAGGGCATTACATGGCAAGAGACAGGGAGCATGTGTGTGTCCTGGTCCCTCCCTGTGTCCTGCCTCTGATACTCAGTCATGGCACCCCACCCCATGACCTTATCTAATCTCAATCTTCATAGGAAGGTCCCACAGCTAAACACCACAGTTAGATTAAGTTTCCACTCTCCTAATACCTCACAGTGGGAGTAAACCACCACATGAAGCCTTGGGGGACACAAACCATAGCCAAACCATACCAGCTGTGAATTTGGAAGCACCTTACTTAATGGGTTTTTATTTAAGTTGCATTCAGGATGTCAGCAGGAGCTGAGGTCTCTATAGTCTTGTCTGACTGAGCCTGAAGAGGCCACTTCCAAGGCGGCTTGGTGAGAGGCCACAGCTCCTTGCTGTGTGATCTCTTTCTCCACAAGGCTGCTTAAAGGTCTTTATGACATGGCAGCTGGCTTTCCCAGAGCTAGTGATCGAGAGACAGAGTGCAGGTCAAACCTGCAGTGTCCTTTCTCGTCCACTCTTGGCAGCCATATACCATCACTCCAACATTGCCTTTGTGAGAAGTGAGCCACTAAGTAGGACCCATTCTCAAGGGGAGGAGAATTAAGTTCCACCTCTCAGAGTATCAGTGTAGCACTTTAAAACTACCACAGACAGGTTAACTGTCCCCATTCCTTTTTTCTCACCTTTTCCACGCTCTGCTAGATTAGCTGGGAAGGTAGGCCAGTTTGTCTGCAGGCCTAGAACAGAGTCTGGTCTGTTGTTAGCATTTACAGGCTATTTGTTAAGTGAATGTGATCCAAAAGAATGTTCTCCTGTCTTTAAAATGCTCCAGCTCTTAAAGTTCTGTCCAGACCCTGGGTTGACAGAGATGTGGTGCTTGGCCACGACCCTAGGGTTGGTGTAAGCATGAAAGAGCAACTGTCTGCACCTGGACCTAAAAATGGGACACTATGCCATCCTGAGGGCAGTGTTTGGCCACTTTGCAAGGAGCTTTCTCTCCTGACTTTATCAGTCCCCCATCCTGAGCCCCTCATACTCAAGGCTTTGACCTGCAAATAAGTTATGTCGCTACATGCCAGGGCTACTGCCATGGTGGAACAGGGTGCCTACAATAATTAAAAAACCTAATGGGTACCCCATCCCTTCATGTCCTTTTTTGCACTTGTGCTTTATGCTTGTATCAGCTAGATTTTGCTGCATAACAAACCATCCCCAAACAGTAGCATTTTTTAAAAATAGCCATTTTTTAAAATGGCTATTTAACTGCTATTTGTTATTTCTTAGGAATCTTTGGATCTGCTAGAAAGATCTGCTAATCTGAGCAAGACTCAGTGGATCTCAGCTGAGCTTAATGACCTACTTGTGATTAGCTGTGGGCTGCTGGTCACCCTTCAACCATCAGCGATATTCTTAGAACACATCAACCACCTTTGCCTTATGCTTGAGCCATTTATTACCAAGAGGAGACCACACTCCTAAGCCATCAAAGGAAGAAAACCAATTAGATGTGCAAATACTTGCAAATGAGCTATCTGCATAGAAGGAGTAGTACTCTGAGACAATACTCATATTAATGAAACCAGACTTTCTAGAGGAGATGAACTTTGTATGGGATTTTGAGGGAAAACAAAGGTTGAATCTTGGCCAGTAGGAAAGGGCTTGGCTGTTGTGTAGGCTGAGCAAGAAAGGGTGGGAATGGGGAGGGACAGTGAAGTGAGGGGCCATGCAGTTTTTCCAGGCCAGAGAGGAGGACTGCATTGGGAGGTCAGCAGGCAGACTGTCTGGGGCCAGCTGGGGACAGTCATAAAATTTAGACTGTTGCAGCTGGACAAGACTTCAGATGTTAACAATCCTCCTCCTCATTTTATAATGTGGGAAACTGAGGTCTCAGTTCATGGACTTGCTCATGGCCACCCAAAGGCCATGAGCAAAGCTCAAGTTTGAGTTTTCATCTTCTGGCTTAAGTCAGGCGGTTGTCCACTTTTCTGGCCTAGCATGGGGAGTTTCTCTCAAGTGCTGGAGGACCAAGGACATTGAACTGGCACCTCTACCCTACAGTCCTTGTTTCATTTCCTTCCTCAGAATCCAGCCTCTTCATTCCTCTGGAAAGCTGCTGCCCTGGCCTTGCTTGTCCTTAGCTGAAAAGGAGCAAATTAGTGGAAAGTTCTCCCAGGGAGAGTGTGTCAGGCCTGCAGGGGGCCTCGTTCCCCTCCTGCTCTCCATGTCCTGATAGAAGTCAGACCTAGTCCCAGGGAGAAATGCCAGGGAATCTAGCTCTTATCTCCAGTACCAAAAGGGAAAATAGCAAAAAGTCAGCTCCAAGTTCCAGCTGAAAGGTTTGAAAAATTAATAAATGCGAGGAAATTATTTCTTTAAACTAGTTTTGCTTATGAAACCATCCCAGAAGTGGATGAGTGATAATGGGACAGGATCCAGGGTTTTGTAACCAGAAGGGTATCTTGTTCAGGGCTCAGAAAGAGGCAGAGGGCTCTCAGGGTTTGTGGAGGGTGAAGGCTGATAGCTCTAGTCCTCTGCAGCAGCCTCGGGATGGGGCCTGAGCCTCAGCCCCAGGCCTGAATTGGTAACAGGGTGTGTACAAATGTCTAAGACTGCCTGAGGTGCTGTCCCAGCTGAATAGGTTGTCTGCATGTGCGACCCAGGCAAGAGACCTTCTGACCTTTGTAGGATCCAAAGGAGCCACTAATTGCTTTAAAGGCCCAGCAGAGAGTTACACTTACATCTGTAGGGACAGGCACCCTCCTGGCCAGCCTTGGCCTCTCAGTTCTCAGTCCTCAGGAAGTGGTCTAGGTTAGGTAGATAAGGAGGCCTCGGGGTTTCTCTGCATCTGTGCTCCTCACCTTGGGAGCAGGTCGTGGCAGAGGGCAGAAGCCCTTTACCCGTGTCCCCAGGGGAGATACGGCTTACTCCAGCCCACGGACAGGGCTTCCCCCAACTCAGAGCCTTGTGGGTTGTGGTCACTGTAAAGTAGGGCCATCTGGCCAGCATCTGCTCCTGATTGCTCTATCTGAGCTCTGTTCTTGTGACAGGAGGAAACTCAAATGAGATGTGTTGAAAAGGGCTGCCGGCTAAACACGGTCCTTGGGCACCTTGTCTCTCAGCTCCATGCCAGCCTGGGCACTACAATACTGTACTTGGAAGAAGAGTAGGGAAAGACTGGCCTGACACTGGCCTAAGAAGCAGAACACCAGGGGCTGAGCTTCACTTCCAACAGGTGCTTGCTTGGTTGTTCTTCAAGTGGCCTGAGGATGGAAGCCTTTCTAAGTGTTGAGAGCTCAGGGTGCGCCACGGGGCCTGGTGCTTGTGAGGCTGCTTGTTGCTCAAGGAGCACCCTGGGCCCTACAGATCTCACTGAGGCTCCTTGAATTGGCACCTTCTCTGAACCTGAGGCTTTAGGAGCGGACAGGTCGGGGAGCTTGGCAGGGGAGAAGAGAGGAGTGCGAGAGCTAACATCACAAGAAGTCACCAGGAAGGCATCTGTATTGCCACAGCCTGGGGCAGTGTGAGGTCACCCCAGAGATGGACCAAAAAGACCTCAGCCCACAGAGAACAGTTCAAGGGTAGAAAAGATCAACCTCTGCTCACTTTACGTGGGTTCCAGAGCCCTGAGAATGAGGGCCATGCCATGGGCTGCCAGTGTCTTCCCCTGGGAGGGGGGTGCCTACCTCCGTCCACACAGCATCATGTGTGGGCACAGGACCCGTGCCTGTGCACATGTTCCTAAACTTGGACCTTTGGGAGCAGGTGGACCCCACAGACACATGCATGTGTCCATGTGTGTGGTTGATATGTACACACGCACAGCAACACACACAGAGCATATCCCAGGTATCCCAGATACAGATATCCCAGAGCAGATTTGTACTGATGAACAGCGTAGGTTGAGTGTGCAGGTTATAGGCCTTAGACTCAGGCAAACTCGGGTCCCAGCCCTACTCCCCACTAGCTACCTCTGTGAGTTTGTGCAGATTACTTAGCCTTTATAGGCCTTGGCTTTCTTACCTAGAAAACAGTGCTGACTCCAACCTAATGAGAGGTCCTGAGATTAATGAGATGAATTAGGTAAGGAAGCTGTCACAGAGCTTGGCATGTCTTCTATGGCATCTGGGTCATACTTGGCCCTGCAGGCTACTAAGATGGGCACATCCAGGGGACCAAGTGGGGCCCCAAGAGTCCCAGCACTGCTTCACTTAAACCCCTGAGCCTCATCTTAAACGGGCATGATCATCCCACACCTCTCTAGCATGTTATAGGGAACAAGAAAGACAAAGCAGGCTTATATCTGGTAATCTGAGCAACTACTTTGAAGATAACTATATGCAGTATAATAACCATGGTTGATTTCCTGTTATCCTGTTTTGAAATTGTGTATCATTTTTAATGTTTTCATTCTTATTCTTTATTCTCTTTAAAATAAAAAAAAGACAAAGGTTGCGGAAGTCATAGGGTGTGTGTAAAACACAGTCCTTAGGATTATGGGGCCCCCTTGGCTCTCAGAGCTGGCCCCATTCTTCCCAAACCTGAGCAGACCCTGTTGGCTGGACAGAGCTCAGAACACCAGCAGATGGCAGCCTTGTGTGGTTCAGCCCCTTCTGAGCTCAGGGGCCTCAGCTGGCCGCGCACCACAGGAGGCCCAGCCTTCCTGCGGATGTGAAGAACAGGAGCCCCTCACCCCACACTCAGCTGAAGAGAGAAGAGAAAGGGCCACCATGCAGGGAGACAGTTGTTAGCCTTTGAACACAGAAAGTTCTCATCCCAGGCAGTTGGCTGATGCTTTGAGGGCAGCTTTCACTTCAGGCTTTCTTCTTCTGTTGATTGAATGAGCGATGGTATTTTATAATCTGCCTATAGAAAAGCATTCTCATGTCTAGATGCCCAGTTTACTTGCTGCCCAGAGATTTTCCTTGCTTTCTTCTTTTTAAACAAGAGCCGGGAACATGAAGGGGGACCTCACGTTTAGGTAGTCCGGCCCTAAATCTAAGCCTGGAATGAATGTCACAGCTAAACCTGTAAACTCCATCTTCTGTGCTGGCCAGACAAGCCTTCGACCAAGTCCCTACTTGCCTCATGCCCTTCGCAGCCCTGGGGTGATCAGGATCTTTGCCCAGGAAGCCTCTTGATCTCTGTTGGTCCCTTGAATTCTTCAGGAACCAGGTTGGGGAATGCAGTTGCCAGGTGTCGCTGATGCTACAGAGCAGCCCTGCCAGCCCCCTCTTTCGGTGAGTGCCCCTGCCACCAGCCCACTGTCCTCCTGGTCCCTCAGCCCCAGCCCAGCAGCTTGGGATTGTTTTTGTCCTCCAGCTGAGTCTGCCCGTGCCAAAAGGGAGAGCTTGGAAAGGGGTTAAGGGAGGAGGCAGAGGGAAGGGGAGGATGATTTTTTTTTTTTTTGCACACACCCTTATAAGGCTATTGAAGTCATTACCGATGTAATAAACCAACTAAGCAAGCGCTCTCACCAATGTTCCCTTCTATAAACACAGCCTGACTGGCCCCCAGCTCTCTCTCCCCTCCTCTCTCCCCTCCGCCCTCGGGGATTTGCTCTCCCTTGACGTTTCTGGCTCACCCGGCCCCTTTTCCTCCTGCTTTTTCCCTTCACTGGTTGCAGGGGGCGGGAGCCTGCCAGCTGTGAGGGCCTCTGTGGTGGAGGAGTTGGTGCTGATGGTGGCGGTGACTGTGATGGGACCCTGAGGCCTGGCTGGCTAGCAAGAGGGCAGGGTTGGCTGGAGGAGGAAGACGCTGAGGACGTGCGGGGGGTGCTAAAGAGGCGAGTGGAGACCAGGCTGCACACAGAGGAGGCGATCCGCCAGCAGGAGGTGGAGCAGCTGGATTTCCGTGACCTACTGGGGAAGAAGGTGAGCACCAAGACCGTCTCAGAAGAAGACCTCAAGGAGATCCCAGCTGAGCAGATGGATTTCCGCGCCAACCTACAGCGGCAAGTGAAGCCAAAGACTGTGTCCGAGGAAGAGAGGAAGGTGCATAGTCCCCAACAGGTCGACTTCCGTTCTGTGCTGGCCAAGAAGGGGACTCCTAAAACCCTTGGGCCTGAGAAGGCACCACCTCCAAAACCTGCCACCCCAGATTTCCGCTCAGTGCTGGGCAGCAAGAAGAAATCACCAGCAGAGAATGGCAGCAGCAGTGCTGAGGCCCAAAATGCCAAAGCCACAGAAGTTCCCACGCCTGTGATCAATGCAGAGCCTGCAGGGGCCCTGAAACCCATGGGCAACGCCAAGCCTGCCGAGACCCTGAAACCCATGGTCAATGCCAAGCCTGCTGAGACCTTAAAACCTGTGGGCAGTGCCAAGCCAGCTGAGACCCTGAAACCCATGGGCAACACCAAGCCAGCTGAGACCCTGAAACCCACGGGCAATGCCAAGCCTGCCGAGAC